CAAAGGAGGGAGGGGGAGGTAGCTTCGGAAGCCCCCCCTCCCTTTCCGAAGGAAGGAGGGGGGGGGTAGCTTTAAGCTGGGGCCCTTCTTCTTCCCGGCCCTGCGGGCGCGCTCTTTCCCGTGTGCTGCCCACTTCCCTGATCGAGGCAACTCCTCTGGGCATCGTCTCTGGATGGGCTGGTGGGGTTGCACGAAGCGTCTAGAATTACAAGGGCGCGTAAGGCTCCCATGATTTGCTACCGAAAGGGTCCGCCTACCCAGAAATTCCGCCTCCTTAGAAAGGTTCCCCTGAGGTCCCGTCTCCCCCAAGGATTTCGCCTCACCAGAAGGCTCGCCTCCCAAAGGCTCTGCCTCCCCACAAGTTGCGCATCTTCAGAGTTTCCACCACCCCAGATAAGGATGACGATGAGGACGGAAAAGACAATGATGATTACGATGATGCATAATGCAATGCTTGTGCTGAAGATTATGGCGATGATGGCGATGACGGTGCCGATTATCACCACGATGCTAAACGCATCGTGCCGACGGCGTTGACGAACTTATGATTGGGATGGCATTTCCAATAACTCCCGTGATGGTCACGATGAGCACGTTGACGATTATCAAGGTAGCGGCGGTTTCAATGACGAGGGTCACAATGGTTACCATGGTGATGGCGACAATGACTACGCTGACGATGCTGACGGAAATGGAGGCGATGATGTGGACGCTGGTGGCGAGGCTGATTATGGCAGCGATCGTTATCATGATCTTGATGACTGCGCCGACTTTGAGTTTGATGATGCCTGCTGCGTTGGTGGTTATATGCTTTATTCGTACGTCTATGAAGGCAAGTTTCAAAAGCACTTACGATCATAATGGGTGTTATTACGCAGATGTTTATGGCAATACTACATAGTGATGGCAGTGATGATGGGAATGACGATGGCGATGGCGGTGAATGTTAACGAGGATCACGATTTCGATAAAGATGACAGAGACGACGTGTTTGACTCTCTTGATGCTGGCGGTAAGTACGGCGGCGACGATAGCACACGCAAGTGCTTATTGCGATGATGATGCTCGCGGGGTAGAGGGGCTGGTGACGATACGGATGCGAATGCTGGCAACATACTCAAAAGCAACACCATAAAGAGCATCGTCGCCAGCATTAGGATAATCCCAATGAGCATTATCAACTTCATTAACGGACGAGTCAATACGTCCACCAAGGCCACCATGAGCACAACTATCGCCATCACCATCAACGCAACACCCATCTTGACAAACATCGTCTAACACATCATCAATAGCATCTTAACCAATGCCGTCATCACCATCAATGTAGCAGTCTTCGTCATCGAACCATCATCCTGAATACCATTCCGAAAGTCAAGATCATCATCGCCGTCGGCGCCACTACCAGTATACGTATCGTCGACAGCAGCATCTGCATCTTTCAGGTCGTCAACATCGTTATGGCCATCAAAGTGATGATCGTCACCAAAAGCACTGTCATCATGGCACCCACCATCGCCAAACTAGAGAAACGTCTTAGACCAGCATCGACATCACCAGTGGCACTATCAACATCATGATCGTCGAGCTGGTCATGCGAGTGAACAACAACAACGTCGCAATTATCATCATCATATTCGGCAAGGGCATGGCCATGACCGGTCTCAAGACCAGCAGCATCGCCACGGTCACCACCATCAACGTCAAAGTCCTCATCCCCAAGAACATCAAGATCGCCCAAACAACTGCAATCACCATCAATGCTGTCACCATTACGGCCATCAGCATTCAACCCATCATCATCGTCACAACCATCAAAAAGCCATCATCATAGGTGATCACCACCAATGCAGTTGGCACCATCATGATCAAGGCGACAAGAGGAGGAGCTCCTGAGGAGGCGGAGCCTGTGGGGAGGCGGATCCTCTGGGGAGGTGGAGCTTCTGGGGGAGCGGATGCGCAGAAGGCATCGATGCACCACCACCGTGGCTGGCCAGGGCCAGCCTGGGCCCCGGCAGGGTGCATGCGCCCTCCAGGGCCGAGGCCAGGAGGATCTATACACCATCCTAGGGTTACGTCGGGCGTGTCCCCCTAGAGGAGGGCTTTCGACGAACAATGAAAAAATACAGCAACAATGTTCCAAAAAGGTCAAAGAATACTCAAAAAATAGTCCCCTGACTATGTTTGGACTATTTTCTGGGTACTTTTTATTTTTCGTCGAAAATCCCCCTGTAGGGGGACAGGCCCGACTAATCCTAGGGCCCAGGATGGCCCTGGCCTGGCACGGTGGTGGTGTACAGATGCCTTCGTCCGAGTGGAGCCCCTTGGGGAGGCAGAGCCCCTGTGGAGACGGAACCCCAGAGGAGGGAGGAAGACCTGGTGAGGCTGAGCGTCGGGTGAGGCGGGACCTTCGGGGAGGCCGAGGCTGGGGACCTCTGGGGAGGCAGAACCTCTGGGGAAGCGAGGCCCCCGGGGAGGCGGTGCCCGTGGGGAGGCGGAACTCTCGGGAAGGCGGCGGGGCCTCTGGGGAGGCGAACCCCTGGGGAGACGGAGCTTCTGGGGAGGCGGAACCGCAGAGGAGGCGGAACCTTTGAGGCGGGACCTCACGGGACCTCCAGGTAGGCGGGACCTTTGGGGAGCCGAACCCCTGGGGAAGCGAACCTCTGGGAATGCAGTCTCGGTCGCACAGCAATCGTGTTTTTCAAAACGATACAGCCGTGAACCAAGCTAATCCAATCGTCAGACAAACGTGCTGTCAAAAACGTATTGGAAATCTATGAATTTTGCCTCTTGGGGCTCTCGTGGGAGAGCTCCTGGAGGCCTCTTAGGGGCGCTTTGCAGGTTTTTTGGGCCGTCTGGAGGCCGTCAAGGCGTCTTGGACAAATCGTTCGGCGACTCGGGGTTCTCTTGGACTGTTTTGGGGGCCTCTTGGGGCACTCTTGGACCGTCATGAGTCGTAACATGACCGGGCTTGTCCCAGAAGTCTGGACCCCCTCCCGTGGACAAGCTGCTCCGCCCAAGGATGGGGGCTCAGATCTTGTGTGAGGGAAGTGTTGACCGAAAGGCCGATCCACTAATTACCAAGTGTCCACTAGTGGAAAACGGAAGCAACGAATGAAGGACGGAAAGGCCAGCGGCACAGGAAATATTAGGAAAGGTACGGAGATCATTCATAGAAAAAGAAAAGAACTTGGCGCTCCGCGCGGATTTCTTGGATCTGCGCCGGACCCCCCTCCCTGGCGCGCGGAGCGCGCCAAGGGCGGCGCCGGAGGCGCCGCTAGGGGGGGCCCAGCGCGGGTCCAAGAAATCCGCGCGGAGCGCAAAAAGTTTACAGTATACGTTTATGGCGTCTTCTCTTTTCGAATTCATAAACGCCGCAAAAACTGCAAGGCACAATCTGTATCGATCTTTCCACGACGTGGGGACGCGTGGGGGGGGGAACTGGGCACCTCGGACAGCCCGGCCTTCTCGAGCGCTCCCGGGGCGTAGCGTCGCTCAATGAGTGGGACGACAATTGAAAAGGGGAGAGGGGATAAAAGGGGGAGAAACAAAAAAGGGGGCGATAAAAGGGAACACAAAAAGGGAGATCAAAGAGGGGGGCGAGAAACGGGGGGCGAGAACAGGGGGAGGAAGGTGCCCTCCCTCTCGGGCCCAAAGGCCCCCCCTTTGGGGCCCAAAAGGGCCCCTGGAGGGGCTCCTTTTCTGCTTCCTCGCGGCCCTCTCCTTTGTCGCCCCCCCCCCCCCTCACGCGACGCCCAAGGGGTGTGCAGCGTGGGATCCCCGGGAGCCGGGCGCTGCCGGAAGCCACCTGCTCTTGTTGCCGCGCGCGCGCTGGCTTCGGCATGGGGGGGGCGCCGGGCCCCCCGAGCCCGGAGCCTGCCCTGCCTCGGACTCCTCCTCCTCCTCCTCCTCCTCCTCCTCCTCCTCCTCCTCCTCCTCTTCCTCCTCCTCCTCCTCCTCCTCCTCCTCCTCCTCCTCCTGCTCCTGCTCCCCAAGGGGCTCTCCCGCCGGGTCTCCGCAGCGGGAGGCTCCTGGGGAGAGGCCCAGCGGCAGCCCCCCCTGGGGACTCCCAGAAGCGCACCAGGTACACGCCGGTCGGAAGAAGTGCGTAGAAGCACGAAGCAGGAAGGCGTCGGAAGCTGATTGGGCTTCCGCCCGCCCCCTGAAGAGGAAGGAAGACAGAGCGCCACTCAATCCTCGAGGCAGGAAGGCGCCTGGAGTATAGATTGGACCCTGGGCATCCAGCAATACCCACTTTCAACGACTGGCGTGTACCTCTGGAGGCCAGCAAGGTGCGGCGGCAGGATGGGCCAGCGGCCACCGGCTCCGCCGCCCCCTGTGCTTGTCACAGAGGGTGCCTGGCCTCTGCCGGCCTGTGGCCGCCGCCGCTCTCCCGCACCGCCCGCCACTGACCATCGCTCGGACGTCCATTCCCTGTGTTTTTTTCGGTTTCGTGCGTGGTTTTTTCGCCAAATGGTCAAGGATGCTCCCTGATGGTCCTCGCCGAAGGAAAAATGCACACGTCCGAGCGATGCCAAGGCCACAGAGCCGAGAGGCAGCGGGAAACTCCAGCTGGGGTGGAGCTCGCAGTCCACCAGCGGGGCCGCTCTTTTGCTCGGCATCTCGCGACGCCAGAATTTCCCAGAGGCAGGCGGCGGCGGCGGCGGCTCGCCGCAGGCGCCTTCGAGTCCCCCCCCCCCTGCCCGCCAATCCCGAAGCCGACTGTCGCGGCTTCTACCCCACCTTCTCTCCTGGCGAACCAGAGTCGGGGGTGTCCAGGAGGGAGGCGTCCAAGAGGGGAAGTTCGCAGACCATGGCCAGAGGCATGTGCGCGACCCAGGGGCGAGCCAGGGGACGTATTGAAATAAGCAGGCAGGGGCCAAGAAATCCTGGGAGATACGATCGGGAGATATCATCGCCCCAGCCATGCCATCCAGCCCCCCGGTCATCACCCCCCTCTTGGCCGCCCACGACAAGTGGCTGGCGAACGTGGCGCAAGCCAGCGGGATCTATCTCCCCGCTGCCGTCGCAGTCAACGCTGTCCATGATGTCCTCCACGTCGGGCTTTGGGATCCGCACGCCAGCCTGCTGCAGCCCCCTCCGGAGCTCGGAGTGGGTGATCAGCCCGTCGCCGTTCGCGTCGAGCCTCACGAAGACGTCGCGGAGGCCCCGGATGCTGGAGAGACAGAAAACAATGACCATAACCAAGACTGAACGCGGAAACGATGGTGCCGATCTTGGTCCTCGTCCATCTGAGGTCAACCACGACCAAGATCGGCGTCAACAAAATCGCGCGACACCTCACGGCGATGGTCGTCGTGTTCTTCCCTCGAGATGCGGCTCTCGTCGAGTTGACCCGCGATCACGTGCAGGGCAGCCTTCATGAACTTGCTGCGCAGCCGGAAGGCGTGCAGCCTCTCGACCAGGCCCTCGTCGAGCGTCAGGGCTGGCGCCTTCGGCGCCTTGTGGGCGATCCAGGTGTGGCGCAGGGCCTGGTCCGCTGAGCAGCGGTCGTCGGGGTTCTTCTTCAGCAGCCACGTGATCAACTCCTTGGCTTATATGTTGTTCCCATCCTACTTACGGACCACATCCCAGAAATAATTTTTTGAGCACCCGGAAAAGTGTCGAAAGAGTGTCGAAACAGTGTCGGGCGAGTGTCCCCCAGGGCCCGACACGTGAAAGCCCTTGAGTTTCGGTACTTTTTCTGGTGCTCGAAATTCTTTCTGGTGATCCAGGCTACAGTAGGTTGGAACAGCATAATCCTTGGCGTCGTCCGAAACACATTTCCAATCTTCGGCCCTGAACTGAAAGAACCCCAAGCTTACCTTCTGCAGCACCTCGGCGTCGCTCTTTCCCGTGAAGGGCGGGTAGCCACAGAGCATGATGTACAGAATCCGCCGTCCAGGGGTGGACAGGCGTGTGAGATATTTGACTGTCCCCCCTCCCCCTTGCCCACTCCCCCAGTGTCCAAATCTCGTTTAAGGGGAGGCGGACACCGACGAACTGGTCAACGCACCTCTGAGGCCCTCGGAGCCTCGGAATCCACCACTCGTGGGCTCCAAAATGCCGCAAATGCCTCCCAGGATGGCCCAAGAAGGACTCGGACTCCAACATTCCAGAGAGGCCTCAAGAACACCCAAGATAGCCTCAAGACAGCCCAAGAAGCCCCAGACATAACTCCCAAGAGAGCCTCAAGAGGCGCAAATCATTGATTACCAATGATGTTCCTCATATTTTCGCGTCGTCGCCTTGTCGGAGAGCCCGGGGACCGCCAACGTGGGCCCCAAGACAGCTCAAGAGGCCTGCACGACGGCCGAAAATGCCCTCGAGAGGGCCCCCAAACGGGCCCAAGAGCGGTCAAATGCAGAGGCCTCAAGGACCCTCCCTCACAAGATGGGCCTCCAAAGCCCGGAATATGCCCCCAAGAGATTACCAAGAAGCCCCCAGATTGCCCCCCAAGCCCCCAGGAGCCCTGAAAAGGCTCCCACAAGGCCGCCCTCGAGGCCACCAAGAGGCCCCGCAACAGAGGCGGAGGAAAAGGAATCCCACCAGCCCTTTAAGGGGCGAATGGTTTAGGGCGTTTCCTCTTCCAACTCCCTTTTTTCCATACGGGGATGGGCTTTTCACTGCCTCCATTTTTTGATGAAAAAACGCCCCCTTCCCCAAACGACTGGCAACCAACCATGATCCATGCCCCACCCCCAGTGGAGTTGACAAAACCGTGTGCGGACCACCGTTTTGTATGTTTGTCGTTTCTCTTCTCGCTTCTTCGGTTGTCCGTCTTCCTGATCATGTTTGTCTGCCTTGTGACAAACTGTGTGTGTGTGTCATTTGTTTTGTTCCAGTCGGATCGCAAATACCTGTGCATGGATTCCGTCTGCAAGGGATTCCTGATAGATCCCTTTTGTCGCAGAATACAAAAGGATCCTCGTTGTCGAAGAATCCGTGGGGAAATCGCACGATTTCTGTTGTGGCGGGTTACATCAGGATGCTTACTGTGGAAGGATATAAGAAGATTTTCCTTGGCCGCCTACACATCGATTTCGTATAGTGTCGGCCGCGCGAATGAATTCCTGTTGCGGCGTGACAGATTGATTCCTTGTTGGGCGGATTGCAAGCTGATTTCCTTTGTGGCGGGGTGCAAGATGATAACTTGGGTGGCGGCCAAGTGGCCCACAGACAAAGTGTTGTTTTAGTATACCGGCGTTGCATATGAGCTCCTTTTGTGGCGGGTTGCAACATGATTTGTTTTGCGGCGGCCTTGTTCAGGATTCCTTGTGTGGCGACTTTCCAATAAGGTTTGTTTTGTTTGCAGTTAGCTTCCTTGTGTGGCAACTTTGCACATACACTTCTTGTGTAGGAACCCACGAAGAAGTACATATTGTGTCAGCCTCACAGATTCATCCCTCTCGCGACAAACTACGCATTGATTCTTTCAGTGGCGGCCTAACAAGCATGTTCATTCTGCGGTGGTCCTGCGATGTCATTTTTTCTGCAAAGCATTGCAATGTGATTCCCTTTGCGGCAGCCTGTAACTCGAGTTCGTCGTGTGGCGGCCTCACAAACTGATTGCTTCGCCCCTTCATGACATGTCCTCTTCCTCCTCTACCGATTCTTTCCGTGCCACTTCCATCCCTGCTTCTCCTCTCGCATGACCTTCCGATACTACTTCCCCGAATGTCGAAGCTCCTTACAACGTCGCCTTTTCTCCGCCTCCCCTCCTCCTCCTTCGCCTTTGTTTCATCCCCCCGTGGATTATACAATGTCTTACTCTCTGGCGGGTCACACATGAATTCTTTCTTTTTTTGTTGTGATGACCTTGCATGTTGATTCACTCGGTGGCAGATTTGTCTCGCACATCCCTTGGCTGATGGTTGCCAGTTGCCCTTTTGTGGCGGATTGCATTTTAGTTGTTTCTGCAGCGGATTGCAAATTTATGCTCATTGTGGCGGTTACACATTGGTGCTCTGTGGCGATTCGTTATGTGACGAATCGCAACCATTTCCCGCTGAGGCGGGTTGCACGCATATCTCCTGCTGCAGCTTACCAATCGAATCGTTCTGCTGCGGGATGCACTTTAGTTGCATATGTCTCCCTTACGCAATATAGGTTTAGCGGCGACCATCCGGAGGACTCCTTCTGTGGCGGTTTCACGGGGTTACGCAATGATTCATTTTGTGGGTGATTGCAAATTGATCCCTTATGTTGCCGATTCCAGATTGATGCCTTTGGTGGCCGTTTACGAATTGATGCGTTTCGTTGCCACTTGCAAAAGAACTCCTTTGGAGGCCGATTGCCAATCAACCTGTTGTGGTTGTTTGCAACGAGATTTCTTTGTCGCGTATTCCGATTGCCATTTGAGCCCCTCCGCTGCTGATTACACATTGTTTCCTATTATTGTGACAGGGTGCGAATTGATTCCTTTTGTGGCCACAACTTGGTTCCCGTTCTGGCTGCTTGCACATTGATTTCTCAAACCGTTTACAACAACTGTTTTTTTGAAACAGACAAACATTTTTTTGGGGGGTGGGTTACAACAGAGTCCCTGTGGTCCATGACCATAACAACTTCTGATTGTGCCGGGTTACGAATTTATTCCGTTTGTGGCGGGTTACGTCACACACCTGTTTCTGGCAGATTGCAAAAATATTAGTTTTGCAGCGGAAACCCAAAGATCATGTCTCTTTATTTGTATCTAACCCATCCGCTCGGAGAGCAGCGAAGAACATCGAATTCCTGCACACCTACCAACTGTCACCGAGAAACAGCGACGTGCTTCGCCTCACACAAACCCACCCCGACAACAAAAACGGCGAGACAACTCAAAACGTCAATGAACTTTTTCGAAACAACAACGACGACGACACGCCAAAACACTTACCGGACAACAGACAACAAACGACGTATGGAATGTGGTGGCGCATTGTTTTCACGCGCGCATCAAACGACACTGAAAGTCGCATGCCTCGAAAAGTTGAAACAAAACACGCGCGCCGCCCTTTCGAACTCGCCGTGCGTGAGTCACCCCCGCGCTTGCAATGTGCAAATTTCGCGTTTTCGTGACTTCTGTTGCGAATCAGCGGTTGCTTACTTGATTTCGCAATGTTTACTTCAGTTTATCAGTTCCCTTGAAAGGCGGGCTGCGCCCCAAAGAAGCCGAGGAACCCCAAAGAAAAAACGGCGACGAAAATTCCTACGAAAACTTAGTGCGCTCCCCGGGAAAATCGGAAACGGCGACGCTGGATCTCGGGGGGTTACTCAGTTGAGTCTCTGTTGAGGGGGCTGATACTCACAGAATTCCGTCTGCGGCGGAGTAGAAATTGATTCCATTCGTGGCGGGTTACGCATTGGTTTCTGTCGCAACGGGTTGCAACAAGATCCTTTGTGTGGCCGCTTACAGAAATACTCATTCCGTGGCGGATTCCAAAACGGTTTGTTGTGCCTGATTACACAAGGATTCCTTGCGTGGCGGGATACAAACTGATCCATTGTGTGATCATCCTTGGTTGCGAACGCACGGACACCAAACATCTAACACACATGGAAAATAAGTCAGCGATTGCGTTATGTTTTGAACCAGACAAGTGTAAACAAACAGCACAACCTCGCATCTGGACAAAACCACAATGTAGAAACGCAGATTTCTCGAATTCGTTAAACCCAAAACCAGACGAACACACACGGTGCTTCAATCCGCCACACATGGCTTCCTTTCCTGGTGGACCGCCAGAACAATCCGTTTGACATATGCAGCAAAAAGGGCTTCAGTTGCAATCGGCCCGAAAGGCATTTTTTGTAATCCTCCACGAAACGGGTTCTCCTTGCAATCCGATTCGAAAGAAATCAATTTGTCAAATGCCACACAAGGAATCAAATTGCAACTGGCCACGGCCAAAAACCATGTGTAATTGGTCAGTGAAAAATCAATGCATAATCAGCCACATTAGAAATCAATTTGTCATGGGCCACACAAGGAATATTCTTGCAATCCACCGCAGCAGCAATCTTCTGTTTCCATCGACCACCAAGAATGTGTCACCGACATACAGTTCGAATTTGCAAAATATTGGGTCATGCTCGGGGGGGCGAACGCAACGTATCGTTTGTTGACAGGGGCGGCGGGGAGAGGGCGCATATTGCTTGCTGTTCGCAGGGCCACCACCCGTCAAAATCACTCCGACGGGAGGACCCCGCACGGGAATATGTTTAGCTCGCCCTCCCTCCTTCCCTCCTTTTCGCCCTGGCGGGGGCCTTACTCCTGCCCTCTGTTGCGTTTCCTCCTCCTCCTCGTCCTCCTCTTGCTCCATTTCCTCCTCTCTCCCGTCCTCCTAATCATATTTTTTTCATCCTCCTCGTCATTTCCCTCCTCCTCCTCTTCCACCACCTCCACCTCCTCCTCCTCCTCCTCCTCCTCCTCCTCCTGCTCCTCCTCCTTTTCCTTCTCCTCCTTTTCCTTTCCCCTCTCCCCATCTCCATTCTGCCTGTTCTCCTCATGCACCCCCCTGGCCTCCTGTCTGGACCAAGCCGATTTCCCTCATCGCCCTCGCCGCCTCTGCCAGCATGCGCGCGTTCTCCGATGGCCCGATCGCGAAGCCGTCGCGGCAACCCCGCGGGCCAGGCCGTTGCGGCGAACCCGTGGGTCGCTGGGGCGCGGGAGCAAGCCGTCGGGGCAACCCCGCGGGCTACGAGTTGGGCGCCGCCGCACTCCGGCGGGAGGCAGCGCGAAGCCTAGCTCTGCTGCGACTTGCTCCGTCTCAGCCATGGAGCTCGCACCCCTCCTGTCGAACTCCCCGGACGCCTTCCGCGGGGGCGCCGGCGGCCCGCGCCCCGGAAATTC